TTTTCTGTTTCTGACGAAGTCCGTCATATGACGGACGAACGTTCGGCATGGAGTCATCGGGGTCAAACGACGGTGAGCCCGAGCCTTCTTTACACAATTCAACTAACAAAAGTCAAAGGCAACCCTCCTTCGGTATGCGATGAGGTCAATTTACGAATTCCCCAACCCTTCCACGAAATGAAAGGTATGCAAGTAGCAATCTACTAAGGGATTCTTCGAAACACAACTCCTCTTCATATAAGAACTTTTATCTGAAAAAATTGTCTTCCTTGAAGGCAGAATAGGTTTATAGACTAATCAAGACCTGTATTGAAATAGGTAACGAGACTAAGCAGCTAGTACTTAATTAACAAAGGGAATTGATAGGTGATATAAAATAAGATGTGGGCCCTAAATAAAAAACACTTCGTCAGACCTATTTCGAACTCATATAGGCTCCCAGCGTATATTTACTTTGAAAGAATTGCCCAGAAATAGTCTTAAGCACAATCATAGTTGAAAGATAAGATAATGTGCTAAGAAAAAGGTGCCTAATAAATGCAGAATAAGATACAGAAATGAGATGTATTCGCCCTATCTCGTTTCGATCATAAAGGAATAGTAATTGAATTTTTCCATAATCATATGCTTAAGCCATTTTATATCGCATAGCCTTGCTTCCCAAAAGACATTATAATCCAGAGTGACTGCAGTTACGACCTCATCTGGTTTATGTTGGTGCAGCGCATAATATCGACAAATTAACCACTACGCCACGCTGCCACGAGTGTCCTTAGGTCACAGGACATAGATGAATTTTACATTCTGCGATAGGATTGCAATAGTAATTAACAACGCCTCTTATTTTTCGTTTATAATTAGGTTGTTAAAGACTACGAGTTGATGAGCTTATAAACGAAAAATAGGTCAGTGTAAACTGGACTTGCAGCCTAGCGAAGAGTTTCGAGAGTGTATTATGTTAAATACCCTGGGAATGGTAACTTATGCAGTTGTGCTTTCTTCCAAAATATATAAGGTAATCGATTAAAAGGATAAAGTAAATCTAATAAAATTTGAGAGAAAAAATATCGGCTCAAAGTAGTTTCATGACTTAGAGAATATACGAAAAAATAAGGTTACATAGCAATGCTCCAACCTGGAACTAAAACAACTCACATCAATGGGAAGAGCAGGACTTGTAAATTTGTCGAAGAGTGCCTTCATCAGGTAGACGTAACGCTGGACAATCATCAACTCATCCTCTGGAGACAAACCCTCATGGACTTCAGGATCATCTCCAGTATCAACATCTTCATCCTGATCCGCCTTTTTATCATGCGCACTTAAAAGAAGACGCTTTCGAGCCTCAAGATTGCACTCCTGACGACGAGTAGCCAAATACTCTGATGTGAACAACCAACTGCTAACCTGAGTACTGGTTACATAAGCCTGCAGCACAACAGAGAAAGTAAGCAAGATAATAGATGTAGATTATGCAGCCAAATACACAAAAACATTCCTTTTAGGGATCGGTTAATTAAAGGTTCTGATGTGATCAAGACTATATTAGATCCTGATTTATAATATGCGTCTGGATGTATTTAAAAGCTACTCGCGCCAAATAGTGTTAAAGAACTAATCCAGGTCTTACAGTTCAAGTGATCGCGAATACTCTAAATTGAGCTGAACCATAATTTTGAATGAATATCATGAACAAGTTGTGACCATTCCTACCCATAACCAAGAGAAAAATGGCTAAACTATCCATTTATTAGCAATTTTCCTGGGGTTAACAGTCTTAATGTTGCGTTTCTAGTTCGTTAAGAAAGCAAAAGAAAGGATTGTTTCACAAAGTTTATTAGACACAATCGTATATATATATATATATATATATATATGGACAACACCCGATGACAAGAATCACGGATAAGAAGCTTGCAGGGAACTTCAAAGTTTCTTAATGGCAATTGTCTAAGGGAACAATTGTATTAGGCTCTTGGTGAATCGATCTCCATTGGCTGAGTGTCAAGGCCTGATTCGGTCGCGACTGGCTGTTGACGAGGCGGATGCTCATATAAAGCAAGATACGATTCAAGAGAATCATCCTCATACAGCGTAAACGTTTTATCCTTTCCCACGATGGCGAGAGAGCAGTTCTTAAAGCAAAAATTTGTGAATGAATGTGGAGTTAAGAGCAATTAAGTAAAATAAACAACTTAAAAATGTATATTCAATTAAATTGAGTTTTTTTAATAGTGTTTTATTTAGGAGAACTAGTCATGAAATAAAATAATCTGTACCTTAGAAGTTATCTCTATTTCATTAGGCAAAGTGCTATGTAGAGCTTTAAGACCATGAGTAATAAGTTCATTTAAGCTTGTAATTGGAAGTTCGGTGACATGGCGCTCGAGATAAGTTCGTGCAGATTGAGACCTCGACCCGATAGCAAAGCACTTACAATCATAGGCATTGGCCGAAGGACACTAAATAAGAAACAAACAAATTAAATTAATAAATAAAATGTTGAGCTGGAAATGGATTTTAGGACCTACCAGGTAATATATGTGAGGGCCTTGCTCATCGTAACCTGCGACCAGCATACCTACACCAAACGGTCTACGACCGTAACGCTGTGTTGGAATTTGTAATTTGAGAGCCATACGAGATAAGAGTCTGGAAATTGGCAGCGGCTTACCATATGCCCACCTATTTTCGGTGCATTCTTTCCTCATTGTTCGCCCAAGAACACGTCCGTCAGCAGTCAGTCCAGCAATCGCGATACCAACATGGTCATCAATATGAATAATCTTTTCTTGAAAAGATGAAAGTTCGGA